CTCCCCAACCGAACCGTGGAGGCAGACCGCAGGGGCCGTGGCAGCAGGGCACGCCCACGGCGCCGGGCCGTTCGAGGCTGGCCGCCCTCCAGAGCTCGACAGAGCTGCACCTCGGGCCCGATGTCGAATGCTGGACCTGCGTGCGGGCCGGCCGCGCCCAAGGGCTGGCGCCCAACCCGGAAGCCCTTGCAGGGCATGCTGGCGGTGCTGCTGGAAGCCTGGTCCCAGTGCGAGGTCAGGCGGCTGGTTGGCAGGTGAACGGACTTCCGGCACGTCAACGTTGACGTCGAATGCTGGGCCACGAGACGGCTCCTGACTAGCGGCACACTTGTGACAGACGCCGCTGGGGCAGCTTGATCACCGAGTCCGTTGCTGCGCAGTGGGGTCGGGCTGCCGCCTGCCCTTACTGCAGCGCGGCCGTGGAAGGTCTCGATCTCGAACACCGCCTGTGGATATGCCCGCGCTGGGGAGCCTGAGCGGAGAGCGGCGTTGCAGCCAGGGGGGTTGACTGCAGAAGCGTCCCGGGCCCTCCTGCCCCCCTATTCAGTGCGCACGGGCGTCTTGCACCAGTGTCCTCGCCTTGCAGCCCTCGCGGAAATCATGGCTGCCCCTGCAGCTTCCCGCGCTGCCCGACCCGCTGGCTGGCCTCCAGGCAGCCTCGCCGCGATGACCGTGCGCGTGGACGGACGACTCATGCGCGCGCCCTGGCGACCCCCTTCTCGCCAGGGCCAGCTGGGGAGTGCACCTCGAGGGAAACGCCCTGCGCCGCGAGGACTCCAATGGTCCTGTCGATGGAACGCTAACGGCGCAGCGCGCGGAGGTCTGTGCGTGCGTGCAGGCGCTGCAAATGGCGGACGGTTGCGTGGAGGTGGTCGCAGACTCCCGCGTCGTCAGCCGCGGCGTCTCAGCACTCCGGGCCGGCGCTTGCCCAGCCGACTGGGCGCACGCAGACCTCTGAGAGGTCATTGCCCCGCACTGCCACAAAAAACTGCTGCGCACCCGCTGGGCCAAGGCGAACCTTGACGCCCTCCAGGCACGAGAGCGCGGCAGGTCTGAGGAGGACCGCGCGGGCAACGCTGCCGCGGACCGCATGGCTGGGCTGGCAGTCGAGGCCCTGTTGCCCGCGCCCGCGTTGTGCCAGGAGCGCAAGCGGCAGCTCGACGCACTGGCCGTGGCGCAGTGCCTACGTCGAACTCGCGGCTCTGAAGGTTGACCACGCGCCGCGTGGCGCAGCCATGCCGCGGGTTCGATACGTCGCTGGGCGGCGCCGCGCTGCGCGCGACCCCGGCAGGCCTCGCTGGACCGCGTCGCGAGGTCTTCGGCCGCGCGCGGCACCGCCGCCGCCCGCTGCGCCGCCCGCGCCAGCGGCCGCGATCGAGGCGACGTTCGCGGGCCACGCTTGGCGGCCGCACGCGGCGGCTCCAGAGCCAGGCCGGGTCGCCTGCCTCCGCCATGCGGCGGGCTGGGCGAAGCCGTGCCAGGGCTGGCGAGCCGGCCCTGCGGCGGCTGGGCGCCAGCGCTCCCCCCTCGGGCGGCGGGCCTGCTGCTGCCGCCTGCGGCCCGCGCTGGAGGCGCGGAGGCGGACTGGCGGGCGGCGCTGCGGGCGCGGCTCGCCGTGCGCCCGAAGCGGTTGGCGCAGCGCCGCTGGCGCGGACGCGGGCCGCGGGCCCGCCGCTCCCCGCCTCCCCCTCCCCTCCCTTCCTCCCCCTCTCTCCCCCATCCCCCCTCCTCCTCCTCCTCCTCCTCCTCCTCTTCTCCTCCTCCTCCTCATCCTCCTCCTCCTCTCCTCTTCTTCTTTCTCCTCTTCCTCTTCTCCTCCTCCTCCCCTCCTTCTCCTCTTCCTCCTCCTCCTCCTCCTCCTCCTCCTCCTCCTCCTCCTCTTCCTCCTCCTCCAGCTCTCTCCCTCCCTCTCCCTCGGCCTCCCTCCCTCCCCTTACACATACGCAATCTGAGCACTCTCTTCTCTCCCCTAACTCTGTCCGGAGAGTGTCCCTTCCTCTCCGCGTTTTGTTTTTACACACAAGATCAACTTATTTGGTTTTATCGATACGTTTTGTTTAATATGGTCGTTTCCAGCTCTTCTAAAATGGTGCTCCTGCTGTAGCGCCGCCCTCATTTCCGCGCTTCGGTTATGCAAGATCACGCTCGTGCTGCAGCGTTGGCCTCGTTCCCGCGCCTGCGGTTGTTCCAATTCGTGCTCCTGCAGCAGCACTGGCGTGTTCGGTCCTTCCAAGCAGCGCTGTCGCTGTTGCGCTGGCCTCGTTCCAGTGCTTCGATCCTTCCAAATCGCGCTCCCGCTGCAGCGGTGGCCTTATTCACGTGTCCCGTCCTGGCCTCGCTCCCGCGCTCCAATCTTTCTGAATCGTGCTCCCGCTGCAGCGCTGGTTAGATTTCCGTTGGTCCTGGCCTCATTCCCGCGCTTCAATTCTTCGGAATCGTGCTGCAACGCTGGCCTCTCCTGCCTGTTTCCGGTCCTTCCCGGCTATGCTTTTCCATCCGTGCCTTCCATCCATCGCGTACCCTCTTGGGATCACTGCCCTGCTCGCCACCCTCTTGGGATCATTGCCCTCAGTGTGGGAGGGAGGGGGTGGATGTCAGATGTGACGCTAGCGAACCTAGCTTGCCCCCTCCACCTCCCTCCCTCCCTCCCCTTCCCTCCCTCCTTCCCTCCCTCCCTCCCTCCCCCTCTTTCCGCTGCAGGGCAGCCCTGGCGTTGGCAACAAAAATCGTAACTAATGGCAGGCCTTTCTACTCTCGGCCGCCGGACTCGCAACATAGCAACCATTGGCAGGCCGTTTAACTCTCGGCCAACGCGTGCGAAACCCAATCACAGACATTTGCATTCGTGGCCGCGATAGCGGCAACCTATGGAGCAACAAACCGCCAGCCGCTTCTGGCAGCTGAGTGCGCAATCTATGGCGCATCAAAAAGCAGGCCGTTCAAACTGTGGCCGCCGAGTGCGCAACAGACGGCGAAGTCTATTGCGCAACACGCGGATGGCGCAACGGATGGCGCAACCTATGGCGCAACCAACGGATCGCGCAACCCATGAATCGCGCAGCCTATTACGCAGTCCAATGATGACGCAATCCATAGTGCAGCCCGCGGATGGTCAAACCCAATGGCACATCGGTGCAACCCATGGATCGCACAATCCGTAGCGCAACCAATGCTGCATCGCCTTGCGCAACCCATGGAAGGCGGAACCTGTAGATGGAGCATGGCGCAAGCCATCGACGTCGCAACCAAGGGCGCACCCCATGGATCGCTCAACCTACGGCGCAACTCATGGATGACGCAACCAAAGGCGCAACTCATGGCGCGCCACATGGGTGGCGCACAGTGTCTACGGGCTGCGCAAGATTTTTGCTCGCTGTTTGGGCTGGCGGCGGAGCCCAAGCGGCGAGGTGCCTTGTGATCGCTCTGCTTTCGCATGTGACGGCTAAACAGGCGCCGCCTTGACCAGGCGGCGTACAGCCAAGGTGACTGAAGATGTGGTGGTTTCCCCCTCAACTCGGCGGCGTAGTGGCACCAACCACGCGGTATCTTCTAGAGATTCCGAATGCTACCGCCCCCCCCTCCTCACACAAATAGAGCAGCACACTGAAGACAATCTCACTCTACTACGCGCGATAGCGATCACATCGCGACATCGGGCGCCCCAACTCGCTCCACACTCTCACAACTCTCTGGCCAGTGCACGAAGGCTCCGCCCTCACTTGTCCTCACACTATGCTCCATAAAGATTGCGGACAGCTGTAGACATAGAATGGCAAGGCAGTGGGCGATTGGAGAAACTGGCTGAGCCTGGGAATGACCTAGGACACGTGAGATATGCCAGCCGTGGCTGCAAAAGAAAACCGGGGCGACCCTGGACAAAGCTGTAGTGGCCACCCACTCTCACCAGATGTTGCCAGCGGTAACCCTGGCCCAGGGTTGCCCCAGCATGCTCCAAGGATGTCCGAATGGCCTCCAGAACATCCCTCAGAAGACCCAGAGGGCCCCAGGAGCTTCAAAACGGCGCGGAAAGCCTGGGGACAGATTGGGCCCAAATCACCTCGGGCAAACTGCGATCTCGCGCCATCCATGCGGGCAAGATGTATACCCATATCCACTGCATCTTCGAGTTTCGGGCTCTCTTCCCCAGACACCCGAGGCGCAGTGGATGTGGATAACCACCTGGCCCCCGGATGCAAGATTTCTGCTCGTACCCACTTGCACTTCGGCTTTTTAGCGCCCTTCCCAAGAAAGTCCAGCACGCAGTGGATATGTATATATGCACATGTAGACACATGTACATATATATATATATGTATATATACATGTGTATATCTAACTATATAACTACATATATAAGCAAAGTATATATATATATATCCCGCACCAGACGCCATCGTCGACGCCGGTGGCGGCAGCGCTGCGGGGGGCCGCCCGGCGCCCGGTCTCCCAGGGGCTCGGGTCGTCCTGCCGCACGGCCGTCCAGAAGCAGGCGGTGGGCAGCGGCAGCTCCAGGGCCTGGGGCGCGGGAGGGCTGGGAGGGTTTAGGGTTTAGGGTTCTGTTGTTCCCATCCTACTTTAAGGGCCACATCCCAGAAAAAAATTCGAGCACCCAGAAAAGTGTCAAAAGAGTGTCGAAACAGTGTCGAAACAGTGTCGGGCGAGTGTCTCCCAGGGCCAGACACGTGAAAACCCTTGAGTTTCGGTACTTGTTTGGCCGCTCGAAATTCTTCCTGGTGGCCAAGGCTAAAGTAGGTTGGAGCATCATAAGTTTAGGGTTTAGGGTTTAGGGTCAGACAGGGGGGTGCACAGCAACGGGAGCACGCGCAACAGGTACCCCGCAGGAGCGCACGCTCAGCTGCCCCGACGCGTGCCGCGAGACCCGCACCGTGGCGATGCGGAGCTCCACACGCAGACTGAGAACGCACGTCCGGCGCGGCACGGTCGCCGAGGGCCAGCACGTGCCGAGCCCACACGCAGCGTAATGTCACGGACGTTTTGAACACGGCACGCGTTGCGTTTCGAAGCGGGCGTATCAGGGCAGTTGTGGACAAGAACTCCACAGCAGCACGAGCACAAATAGCTAACATCACGCAGAAGCTCACGAGGGTCATGAGCCAACTGCCAGCGTCTTCTAATGGCCCTGAGTTTTACGCTCCATGCAAGAGCGCGACGTGTGTCGAGAACAGGCATGTGCTAAAAATGGCTAGCAAAGACGTGGTGATTGCTAGCTAGCGTCGTGAATCCGATCCAGATCCGCCAACCCTGTTTGGGTGTGTGTGTGTGTGAGAGAGAGGGGGGCTTGTCTGTTCGAGGTATCGTCTCCGTCAGTCGTCGTCTCTTTAAGGTTTGGGCGTTCTCGCCTTTTCCACTTCCCTCCGCTCCCAGACGGTGCAAGAGGCCCCCAAGATCGCCTCAAGACGGCCCAGGAGGCCTCCAAGATGGCCCCAACATAACACAAGAGACAGCCCCAAATGCCCCAAGAGGTTCGCAAGAGGCCCCAAGAGGTCAACAAGAGGTGCCCAGGAAGCTCGAAGAGGCCCCGAAAAGCCTCCCAAGAGGCCTCCAAGAGGCTCCCAAGAGGCCCCAACATCCCTCCCCAGAGGCCACCGGGAGCCTTCCGAAGGGATCCCAGAAGCATACCCGAGGACTCTGGCCCACGTCAGATTCGTCGTCGTCGCGTCGTCGTCGCGTCGTCGTCGTCGTCCTCGTCGTCTCCCTTCAGCGTCGTCGGCACCGGCCGTAAGGTCTTCACAATCATTAAGCAGCGCAGCACTCAAGGCGCCGCATTGACAGGAATGCCTGCAAATCGGTGCAATCGAAAACTACTAGAATTTAGATGGTGCGCATCATGCGTCGATCACGTGGGTGTGCCGAAATCTGATGACGTTTAACCGAGCGTGTAGCCGCTAGCATCGTGAGTCCGATCCATTCTGGTGGCAAGATCAGCACATGAGCTTACGTCACCGCGTTCAAAGTGACAAAGGGATGAGGGGCCGTGAGCCTCTGTTCAGGGATCGCACGGACTAGAAACCCACCCCAAAACCTGCAACAAGCACCACTGTTGTGACCACGCCAAGTATGATAGTATCCTGGTTGGCTGTCGTCAGCGTCGGAGAACGACTGCTGACGATTTTGCACACAGCGCCCGCGCATGCCCATGGGCTCTGCCAGCTCGTTGATGCCAGCGCGGACCCTTGAGCACCATCGCGGCTGACATTCCCGAGTCGACCGAAATACTATTCGCCAGAACACTGTCTTTCAATGGATCGTGTGACAGTGCTCTGCGGCGTTCTCCTACCGGCACAGCACCCCGAGCCACTGGAAAGGCTCCAGCAGGGAAAACGTCGTCCAGTGTCACACGCGGTGCGCAGCCCGGCAGGCTGGACGCGATGCGGGTAGGAAATTAAGGTGCGAGTGCGCGCCTGTCTACGGCACTTCACGCGTCCACGGGCCCTGAGCAAATAAATCTGCGCTGCTCCAGGGCTGATGCTAAGTAACGATGTCAGTGCGCGGCCATTGTCGAGCACGAGCGCAACTAGTCGCCTACCTCGTGAGTCCGCTGCGGTGGCTGGTACTTGTGGCCGCCTTAACGAGGCGCATTTTCATCCACATTATCATGCAGTCGGTCAGCAGCCCGCACCCATTGAGCACATGTGACAAGCGAAGTCCCCTTTGCAGAAACACGCCTGGCAGAGCTGGCAGCCGCGGTTCAAACCAAGGCCCTGCAAGTGGTGCATCGGCAACACCCAAAATACACGCCGAAGTCGTGCCGCTGTTCCGCCGCAGCCGACGCCGAGGGAGCGGATTCCGCGGTCACCGCCAGGGAAGTGGCCTTCCACTGGCACCACTGCCGGAGCTGTGGTAGCGAGTCCTCGTACGTGCGGCCGCGGCAGCGCAGCCCGAGCGCAGGGAAGCCCCCACGGCCGCTCATCTCCCGCGCGAACTTTGCGATGCTCAGTCCGTTCTCGCGGCCGGCGTCGAGGAGGGTATATCGGCACAGCTCCGAGCCGTCCGCGGCGTCGACGACCCAGCAAAACGGCTGGGCGACCTGCTGGAAGTCGCGGCCCGTGGTGCAGATGTTGGCCGCGAGCACGACCTGCTGCACCTGGGGGCCCACCTGGTCGAGGCGCACTTTGATCTGCTCGTCGTCGCCCTCGCCCTCTCCTGTCAGGTTGTCGCCCGTGTGCTCGATGCCGTCCTGCTCAGACTCCAGGCGGCCGAAGAAGACGGCCTCCAAGTCCGACCCCTGGGCGTCCAGTAGTAGGACCACCAGGACGTCCAGGTCGCACTCGCCCTCGTCGATGTCCCCGCCCAGGCCGACGCTCACCTGCCCCATGCCCATTGGGAGGTCCAGCACCGCGCCCTTCTCCATCGCGAAGGCCACCTTCTGCCGCGGCGGAGCGCGGGGCACGAATGACCTCACGACCCGAGAGAGGAGCGGCAGACTGTCCATGAGATGCCGCCCACCCTGCGCGGGCATGTCTGCGATCCTCAGCTTCCAATCCTGGCCCCCAGGCCCAGTCCTGAACATGGCTGCGACCACGTCCACATACGCTGCACTCCGCTCCATCTCGAAGAGCGCGATCTCGTTGGTGCCTCTCCTCCAGCACGTTTGGACACGTCTTCCAGGATGCCGCCAGAGTAGGCGGCGACCACGAAGACGAGCAGACTCACGTTCGACAGCACCTTCCTCATGTTGACCCAGATCATCTCGTCTATTCTGTCTGGCTTGCCCAGAGCCTCGTCGCCTGAGTGGGTGATGGCCCCGACCGCCTTCAGATTGTTGTAGTAGGCGCAGTCGACGAAGCAGCCGCCGGTGTCAACCACCACGCACTGAAGGTCGATGTCGACGGACCGGCCACGCACGGTGTCCCAGGACACGCCGAACCCGTACCGACCCTACGGGAGGTCGAGGTCCTCGGGAGACGCGCGCGCGCGTCGGCCCGGTGGAACACCTGCACGCCGCCGCCGGCTGCCAACATGGCGACCCTCCGCTCAGGGCGGGGGTGGCATGAGCCAGCCTGTGGTCTTCAGAGAGAGAGAGAGAGAGAGAGAGAGCTAGCGTTCGAGACGCAAGATGATCACGGGTGCAGGAGAGCCCAGGATTGAATCGATAAGTCGGATCGGCGATCGAAACGAATCGGACCGGCGGAGATCGGCAGCCAAGTGGGGAGAGGTCGAGTCGGCAGAACTCGGCACGCTAGTGCTAGTAAGGCCTCCACTGAGAAATCATAATCCAAATCGGAATCCGAAGTCGAATCGAAGCAACAATGCCGCGGAAGCGGCTGGGTTTCAGAATGGGGTGCCCGCTTGAGACATCGTGTATGATTGTGGCCCGACGTTCAACATTCTGTAACAGCTACAAACATGGAGCGCGGCTTTGTTCCAAACGGGGGCTCGCCTTTCTTGCGGCGTCTTGGGGCATCTTGGCCATCATTTCTGGCATGGTGCAACACTTCCATGGATGGAGGGCAGACCCTTTTCAAACGGGTCATTGGTCGCCTGACACATCTTGGAGGGTTATGCCTCGAGTTCACCAGGGTAACCCTTGTGTTGGTGCAGCTCTTATGGCTGCAAGGATGGAACGTGGGCCCTTCTCGTACGAATGGGAGGAAAACGAGGGGCCCGTCTGTCGAGGGGGGCGCCACCCGCAGGGGAAAGGAATTTCTGCAAGGCCTTATGAGGAGGGGCCTTGGGACGTGAGGGCCATTGCAGCACCGTTGGCTGAACTTGGCGGCTTCACCCTGGTCGTCCTCCTCCTGCTCCTCCTCGTCGTCCTCGTCTTCCCTCTCCGCATCTCGTGCCTCCTCTCCTATCCCCCCCCTCCTGCCACCTCGAGCCACCTCCCGCCGCCTCGCAACAGAGCGCGGCAGAGAGCCCTCCCCGCCGCATCCGCCGCCGGGACAATCTGGTCTCGCGAGAGCCTCCCGCGCAAAACTGCGCCAGTTTGGTATCCCCCCGGCGCGTCCAGAGCGCTTGACAATCCGTGTCTGGAGTTGGTGAGCTTGCAGGTGCGCGCTGCCTGGTTTCCCGAAGACCACGCGCGCGCACGCATTTTGCACTGGAGCTGCCGGTTTCGTCCAGCCCTCCCACTCTAAGCTGGTCGTTTGGGAGCCACCCCGCGCGTCTGGAGGAGGAGGACGAGAGGAAGAGCACCACCAGAAGAAGGGAGAAGATGATTGAAGAGGAGAAGGCGTATAATACATACGAATGGTAAAAAGGTGAACAGTAATAATAATCATGCGAAAAATTAAAGGATAATAGTAATACAGAAAAGGGAAACTAATACTACGAATAAAGATAATACAAAACATACTACTAATAACGCGAATACGCATCATTAAAGCAATACTGAGAAACATAAGAAGAAAACAAGCGAGAAGGTGGAGGAAAGGACGAGCAGCAGCAGTTGGAGGCCGCTGGGGGGTCTGAACTGGATGTGACCCCAAAAAATCGGTTAGAAGCGGAGATGACGCAAATCCACTCAAAATTGGCCCCTGGACCTCTTCCCGGGTCCATCTGGTGCACCCTTTCGCCCTGGGCCCGTTTTCACCGTCCCGGGACGAAAGCGACCCAGGAGGCCGAAGAGGACAAAAAGCCCTGCCGAACCGAGAACCTCGAGCCTCGCGCCCCCCCCCCCCGGAATTCCTGCAGGCGGGCACCGCTGCTCGGCCACCTGGAAGACCCCCCGGCGGCTCCGAGCGGCAGCGGGGGAGAGAATATTACGGGGCGTGGAAACGACCAAAGCCACTGCTTTTCTTCTGATGCCGCCTTCCAGCCCGCAGCAACAAAGCAGTGGTTGTGGTCATTTTCGTTGAGCTTGGCACCAGGTAAATGGCCAAAACCACTGCTTCTTTTTCGGCCGGCTGGAAGGCGGCGCAAACAAGAAGCAGTGGCTGTGGTCATTTTCCCGTCCCGCAAATACAGAGCAGAGATGGGGCTCCTCCTCGTCCAGGGCCGTGACCTGGCCCTCACCCGGGTCCAGCACGGCCTCCGCGCG